CCCCCCCCCCTCAATTTTAATTTTAATTAACTGATTTCCATGGATTGAAAAGCTAATATAATCTATATTTGGCTAAATATTAAACTAAAAAACAGTTTTGTGAAACAATTTTAGTTTGTTTTCATCCGCTATCCACGTTGGAGTCTCTGACAGATTCCATTTCCTTAAGTTCCTTAATTACCACTAGAGTTAATATTTAATGTAATAAATTAAAAGCAAAAATATTCAACATATACTTTTAAACTTTAGAAAATGTCTTACATTTTGGGAGGATTTGTTAATCCTCGAACATATTCAAAACTTTGAACAGCACCCTAGCTTCTCTTTATCCGTAGCTCTGGTCCAAATTTAAGTCTTAAAAAATCCACTGAGATACCTTCTTGTGAAAAAACAGCTTTTTTTATCAATGACTTAATTATTTTTTGCAGAAGTCCATTTTCTCATGATGATCCTGTTCCAAACAGTCCGGAATTTAATTCCGGCTCCCGCCGTAACATGGAGTCTAGAAATGCAAGATCTGATTCAAGGAATAATAAAAAAGATGGGAGAATTCCTTTGGACACAATGGACTCGTCAGATCCTTCCCATCCAAGGTAAGGACTAAGGACATTTTTACCTGTAAGAAAACTAAAATGGTTGGTTTGTTCACTGTTCAGTAAGAAAACTAAAAAGGCTGGTTTGTTCACTGTTCAGCAAGAAAAAAGATGTAATTTTCGTTTTTAAACTGAAATTCTCAAAGATTCCCCTTCTTTTGCATAATTCCTGTCACAGAGTTCTCCGTCCCAGCTTGGTGTCCTTGGAGTGTAGGAGATAAAGAAACTTTTGAAAAAGTGCAAAAAAGGGCGGTTTCAATGGTTTCCGGACTCACTGGCTCATCGTACAGTGAAAAACTAATAGAACTCAATTTACAATACCTTGAAAATCGAAGACTCCGCTATGATTTAATTGAAACCTATAAAATTATTCATGGTGTTAACAATGTTAATAAATGTACTTGGTTTTCAATGTTAGCAGATACATCCAATAGAATTACCAGAATGTCAGAAAATCCTCTTTCACTTAGTGCCAAATTTTGTCGAACTGATATTCGTTAACATTTTTTTAGCCAAAGAGTTGTTTCTCCATGGAATGATTTACCCTGTGATATAAAAACTGCACCAACGTTAAATACTTTTAAATCCAGATGTGATAAATATGTAAAAAAAATTCTAATTTAGTTTATTTTGTTGGGACAAAAAGAGCCAAATAAAGATTACTTTAAAAGAAAACAGAAAGACCAAATAAGAAGCAATCTGAAATTTTCTTATATACTCCGCCAGGAGTCCTGAAAATAATCCTAACATACACATAAACATAAAGCCATAGTTAAAACATTTTTAATTTTAAGGTCATTAGAAGTTGTTAGAGGTCATTAGAGATCATTAGAGGTCATTAGAAGGTCAACACTGGATTTGTTGCTGTTATTGTTGTTGATATGCACAAAGCCATGGTTAAATCATTTTTTGTCGAGGTCATTAATGGTCATTAGAGGTTATTGGAGATCATTAGTGTCCAGTTTAATTTTATCCCTTTAGAGCAGAATTGGTCAGAATTTCGGTGAATTAAAATGAATTGAGACGAATTGAGATGAATTGAGGTGAATTGAGGTGAATTGAGGGGAATTGCGGTGGACTGAGGTGGACTGAGGTGGACTGAGGTGAATTGAGGTGAATTGAGCCATGAAGCTGGATTGAGCTGAAATGAGCTGACTAAGTGAATTTAGACAAATGAAGCTGCATTAATCTGAATTGAGCTTGAATTGAGAGAAATGTATCTGAATTTAGCTTGCATTGAGCTGAACTGAGCCGAATTGAGCTTTAATTTAGCTACATTAGCTGAATTGAGCTGGTATTGAGCTTGGATTTGAGCTTGTAATGAATCAAATTTTTGTTGTAGAATTATTGAGTGTGGATTGCGAGATGATGGAACTATTTGTGAATGTCGAACTGGAGATTTGGAAAGATCAACCTCCAATTTACAATCTACAGTTAGTCGCATTACCTCTATTAAACCTTCTCTACAGTCAACCTCCAGTCAACCGTCTTCTGTGCAGTCAACCTCCATTAAAAGTTCAGTTCCCCTGCAGTCTACCTCCAATATCAGGACTGCTCAACAGGGAGGTTCCAATCTTCGCTCAAGTCCCACAAACTGCAGGTTTGGTTTCAATTTACAATACTTTTAAAACTTTTTAATCGTGTAGAATTTGTAGCTCCAACTCTCTAGAGGGGTGAAATAATTTAAAATGTTTCAAAAAAGATTTATACATTCAATTTGTCCATTTTGTTCTCAAATAAAAGATAACTTTTACATTTTAATTTCTTGTCTTGTCCAGATTTAAATCAGTCTTATCAGGGTTTAGAAATGCTCAACAAATTTTTACGGGTCCACATTTTTTTTGCCACTAAGGTAATGAAAATAAATAAGTGCTGCTACAGTTCTCCGGATTTTGAGAACTTGTCAATTTTTAAAAATGAATTTTTAGCATATTGTTAAAAGTTTAAAGTTGCTTTTTTCTTAAAATTTACATTTTTTCTTAAAATAGAATTTTTAGGAAGATACTTCGCAAGATTTTGCAAGCGTTTGAAAGTGCCTATGAATCTACAGACGACTCTAATTCTGGTGATGAGGAGCCTGTTGAAGTGGACGATGATGCGATTATGCAGGATGAGGAGGAGAACTATGGAGGTTCCGAAGATGAAAATGAAACTGATGAAGAAGAAAGTGAGTCTGACGAAGATACAGCTGAAGAAACTGAAAATGAAATGTATGATGATAGTGATGATGATGCAGATAACCTTGACAACTCAGGTGATCAATTTTTTAACTAGAATTAATCAAGATTAATAAGCATTTTGACCAACAGATTGAATAAAGTTAGTAGTTGTTAGTTTTTTTGGGTCAATGAATTAATTTTTTTGGCGGGGAGGGGGAGGTGGTTATGAGTCCTTTCTTTTGTTTCTTAAAGTACATTATTGCGAGTTAAGAAGTTAGGACACACAATTTTACCAAGATAAAACATCTATCGTTCTTTTCTTTCAACTATTAATGAGATTCAGATTAGATTAATGAGAATTACAATTTTTAGAACTGGAAGAAAATATAGCTCCGCGTCGACGCTCCAGGTACATGTCCTATCCAACTGATAATAGCTCGAGTAGAAGCATTAGCAATCCTACACATAGATGTACAGCATCCTGTCCTATTGGTTGCAGAGGTAGAACTTATACTTTGGGTTCCGAGGGGGGGGGGGGGTGGCTCAAATTTGGTCGTGTCCTGTGATTTTTAAAAGCCTGAGTAAACCGTATTTAAAAAAACTTCATTACAAGTTTTGACAGAAGACTCGCGGAAAAAGTAAAACAAATAATTTGTTTAATAAGAGGTTAAAACCCGGAGTTTGGGTAAGAATTGAAATTCTGACCCCTATACGTGATTTAACATTATTTGATTTTGATTCGATTAGTGGTGGTGGTGGGGGGGGGGTAAGATTTAAGTTTTAATAGATCATTAGAGAAAGTATTTTTGGTGGTCGTAGACCATTAGAAGTTGTTAGTTTAGGTGGTCAAAGACCAATAGAGATTTTGTTTTAGATGTCCACAGACGATTACAGAAGGTTTTTTTTAAGAGAACGGTATTATAAATACTAAAAGACCATCATACATTTTCTTCTTAGGTGGTTATAGACCACAAGAGATTGTGGAGGTCATAGACCATTAGAAGTTGCTAGTTTGGGTGGTAAAAGACCATTAGATTTAGTGATTTTAATTTTAGATGGATAGACGATTAAAGAATCTTTTTTTAAGAGACTTGTATCGCGCTTAAAGAACATCACATCTTTTTATTTTAGGCGGTCATAGACCATTAGAGATTGTTATATTCGAGGGGTTGGGTATGGACCATCGTGTTAAACCAGGTAACTTATATTTTCGGTATCATAAAAGAACCCCCCCCCCCCCTTCTTTTGAAATATTTTTTTTTTCAGCTGGTAGAAAGAAGATTACCCCTGATAACCCCCTAATCTTAGGGTTATCGTACTGCAAAGGACTCAGGTATGTACAATTCTTATTTACAAAAATACCTTAAAGAAGGCTTTGTGCCAATTTTACAGTGACAAATTAGGATCACTCAGAAACAAGTTTTGTTGTAAACAGGAAGAAGAAAGTTTTCAGTTTTTAGTAGGAATGGAAAACAAAGCTAAGTCTGAAGTTCTGAATGAAATCAAAATTTGTATGTCAAATAAGGTTCCTGATTTATTTCCCGAGCTTTTGTCAAGTTTGTTCTTTTCACTTCAGAGGTAAATAAAAGTCACATTGCGTTGAAAAAAAAACAAAAAAAATCAGGATATCCCCGATTGACAAAGTTACCCTTTAAACTTATCAATAATATTGAAAAATATCCACATTTCTAGCTTGAGTCTGAGTCATTTTTAAAGGAACCGCAATTCAAGATAATTAATTATCAAAAAGAAAATAATGTATATATCATAATTTGTTAATCAAACAAAAGGTACTAATGTGAATCGGACATGGTATTTTATAAAAGTATAGTTTCTCAAAAAGTACTTATACAGTCCCTTAAGATAATTAATACTCTACTTATGTTCTGAAGGACTTGAATATTTTAAAAGACCATGAAACGCATAATTGACATTTTGAGTTTAAACTAAAGCCTTAATTATGTTTAAATTGATGTGGTATTTTGTTCCTCGAAACTCAACTTTGTATACGTAATTTCTGTTTCTTTTTAAGGCGTGTAGGAAGCAAAGGAAACAAGAAAACTTTATTGAAGACGACAATTCATCCCAGCAGCTCTTCGACCGAACATTTTCCTGTCATGCCACAAAGAGTTCATATTCTATACGATACTCCAGAGGTACAGTGTGAACCAACAAACTCTGTAATACAATGTTTTTTCTTAAAAATGTCTCTTGGGAACCCGTGGTAAAGTAATTTTCCAATCGCTTCCCTCTAAGTAAAGTAAAATTCCCATAACTTCCCTGTAAGTAAAGTAAAATTTCCATAACTTCCCTGTAAGTAAAGTAAATACTTGTTAACCCTAGGTAAAGGAAAATTCCCATAACTTCCCTGTAAGTAAAGTAGTTGTAAATACTTGTTAAGAGGTTAGGATTCTATATAGATGTTGCTCTATGAGAATACCTGGAATCCGTAGGATCGATCCTGTAATAGAACATTTTTCAGGTGCAAGCTCTATGAGAACACATGGAATATGCAGGATCCTCGATCCTTTAATAGAAAATCTCTTTAGGTTCCCCGAGATATTGCTCAAGACCTGGAATCCGCAGGATAGATCCTTTAATAGAATATTTCTGTAGGTTCCCCTAGATGTTGCTCTAGAGCACACCTGGAATCCGCAGGATCGATCCTTTAATATGCGGATCAAGGAGGGTGATCCCTTTACAGTCAGGTAAAGCTAGATAAAAAGAGCTTCGAGGGATTAAAAACACAAATTTGAAATTATAGGGTACTGAATTGGAATTTAGTCTAGTAACACATTAAGTATTTTTTTGCCAGAGATGAGAATGGGAATAGGATTGAAAATAAAAGCTGAAAAGTTCTGGATTCATCAACTTCTTGAAAACTACCATGGCAGCTCATTAAAAACTCTTGTTTTTAGAAGACAACCTGTCGCTCAGTCCACAGACAGTGCGCGAACTATAAAAGGTAACATTATTGTCGTTAGATCTGAATCCCTACTAAAATAAATTTGAGGGGGGGGGGAAGTTCTTTTATTTGTTACAATTAAACCCTAAATAAGCCATACATCTAAAGAATTTATTTATGTCGTATTCTTCACTTTTTGATAATGGAATGTTGCAGATTTTTAGTTTTTTTAATTAAATTGAGCTTTTTAAAAATGTTCCCGGATATTCATGGCTATTCATTTATTTTCGCAAATACTGAGATTTACGTAAAATAGTATAAAACCCATTGAGAAATTGTCAAGACGACATTTGATAAATTCTTTCGATGTATGGCTCATTTAGGGTTTAACTGAATAATAATTTTCTCAATTTTTGTGTTATGATTCTTATTTTACATAGATTTTGAATATGTAAAATTATTTTTGTCTTTTTAATTACATTTTTAGAGACACCTTGTATACTTAAGGATATAGTAGTGGATTACATATATTCCGTGTTACCTGGCCCCTTAAACAGCGAGGCACCCATGCTTGTATTGGGGTGTGTACAGCAAACCAAACTCTTCATAGTATAGGTAAAGGATGTATTTTTTATTGTTTAAAAAAATAGTTTGAGTCAACATGTACAGATGTTAGTCTCTGAAGTATACAGGGTTACCCGAGGGGATAAAGGCCAACCGCAATTTCTCGTCCGAGCCACCTCGAAATCCTCGTTCTTTCAATATTATTTTTTTTAAGTGTCTAATCCTCACAGATAAAACTATTTTTTTAAGAATCAGGCCACGTTTTGTAATTTTGTAAATCGAAAAAAAAGTTTCAATTGAATCAAAGATTTCAATGTTCACCTTTTTTACGCGCATTTTCAGATATGCCTGGTGTAAATGCCGCATATAATTCCAAGTTTATAGAATTTCTATCTTTTTTGTTAACTATGGTCAAAACCATAGATTTTTTTCCGGGTGGTATACCGAATATTTTGCTATTTATTTTATATCACGAAGGTTAGCCATTAAGGAGGTAGAAGAGATTTAGGTTTTACCTTAATAAAGTTTTACATCATATAAAGTTTTACTTCAGTCCATCCATATTTCATGCCCTAACGTGGCCAGATTTTTAAAAAATAGTTTAATCTTCAAGAATTGGAAACTTTTTAACACAATAATCTAAGGACGAGAATTCCGAGGTGGCTCGGACGAGAAAATGATGAGAATGTGGCTCGGACGAGAAATTGTTGTGGCTTACCCACAAGGCTNTTACGGTTGTTGAGAATCAGACATTTAAGGAAACAGACAGATAAATTCCCCACAGTCGTCTCTAAAGGTTCATCCTTTAAAAAAAAAAACAAAAAAAACATATTCATTGAGAAGTATACTTGACACCAGATTCAAAATAATGTTTTTAATTTAGGATACAACAGTCAGATTGGATTATCAACACAGTCCTGGGGCTGGGATTTAGGAATACAAACCATTTTTTTTTGTCAAGATTGCGCAATTGGAATTTTAGTGCCACGCGTTTTTTCTAAATTTTTTCAGAGTAAATTTTTCATCTTTTTCCTATATTTTTACGACGTTTTGACATGATCTGAGCTGAGATCTTTTGTATTGTTGATCCCAGCTCAGATCATTGTCAAACCACCGTATTCAAGATCAATTGATTTTTATCTATTGTTGTTCTGCAGATTAATTTGATCATTAAAATATTCCGCATGGTATTCGTAACCAGTCAGGGTTTGTAGGGAGCTTTGATCATGAGATGAAGGAAGCTTTGATCACGGAATAAAGGGATATTTGATCACTTAATAAAGGGATATTTGATCACGGAATAAAGGGAGCTTTGATCATGAGATGAAGGAAGCTTTGATCATGGAATAAAGGGATATTTGATCACGGAATAAAGGGAGCTTTGATCATGGAATAAAGGGATATTTGATCATGGAATAAAGGGAGCTTTGATCACGGAATGTGTATATGTATGTAAAGAAGGATATATGAAGGGATCTTCTCCAAATAAAATTTTATTTTTAAAAGAATACTATTCTAATATTTGGTTTGATAAGGGAGGTTAAAAGCTTATCATAATGCTTCTAAAATCTCTGGAGTAGATTATCCAGCATCTCCACCCCCAGGTTCAGATAAGAGATTTTTTATTTTATATGTTTGAATCAAACAAAAATATCAAAATAGTTTTTTTGTTTTTATTCTTGTCTTTTTGTCTTTTTTTATCTAATATTTTATTTTTTTCTGTTCTCCTTAACCTTTCTCTTTTTTCTGCTTAATAAAAAATCCTAAGCTTTCCTGTTCTTACTTTCTATCCTTGACTATCCTATCCTTTCTGACCTTGACTATCATATTCTTTCTAACCTTGACTATTCTAACTTCGACTATCCTATCCTTTCTAACCTTGACTATCATATTCTTTCTAACCTTGACTATTCTAACTTCGACTATCCTATCCTTTCTAACCTTGACTATCATATTCTTTTTAACCTCGACTAGCCTAACTTTGACTATCCTTTCCTTTCTATACTTGACTGTCTTGTCCTTACTTACATTGACTATCCTAACTTCGTCTATTCTATCCTTTCTAACATTGACTTTCCCAAATTCGAATATCCTATCCTTTCTTTCCTTGACTATCTTGTCTTTATACCCTTAACTATCCTTTCCAACTATCATCGACTATCCTATCCTATTTTTAGCTTACTTATCCTTGATTCAATTTGATCCTTAATTTTCTTGACTTACAAATATTTATCTTTTCCGTTTTTACCTTCCTTAACTTATCCCTGTTCCAGATTTCAAGGTGAGAACCAAGTTCTTCCTGGTTCTAGATTGTGATGCTGGAACCCTGGGATTCATTTCAGCTGGTAGATGGTTGGGAATAGCTCATTCAGGACTCCAGGTAAATGGTTGGGAGTAGCTCATTCAGGACTCCAGGTAAATGGTTAGTAGTAGCACATTCAGGGCTCAAGGTAGATGATTAGGAGTAGCACATTCAGGGCTTAAGGTAAATGGTTGGGATTAGCACATTCAGGGCTCAAGGTAATTGGTTAGTAGTAGCACATTCTGGGCTCAAGGTAGATGAATAAGAGTAGCACATACAGGGCTCAAGGTAAATGGTTGGGATTAGCACATTCAGGGCTTAAGGTAGATTGTTAGTAGTAGCACATTCAGGGCTCAAGGTAAATGGTTGGGAGAAGCACATTCAGGGCTCAAGGTAGATGGCTAGTAGTAGCACATTCAGGGCTCAAGGTAGATGGTTGGGAGTAGCACATTCAGGGCTCCAGGTAAATGGTTGGGAGTAGCACATTCAGGGCTCAAGGTAGATGGTTAGGAGTAGCACATTCAGGGCTCAAGGTAAATGGTTAGGAGTAGCACATTCAGGGCTCAAGGTAGATGGTTAGTAGTAGCACATTCAGGGCTCAAGGTAGATGGTTGGGAGTAGCACATTCAGGGCTCAAGTTAGATGGTTGGGAGTATATTCAGGACTCCAGGTAGATGGTTGGGAGTAGCATATTCAGGTCTTAAGGTAGATGGTTGGGAGTATATTCAGGACTCCATGTAGATGGTTGGGAGTAGCATATTCAGGGCTCGAGGTAGATGGTTGGGAGTATATTCAGGGCTCCAGGTATATGGTTGGGAGTAAATTCAGGACTCCAGGTAGATAGTTAGGAGTATATTCAGGGCTCGAGGTAGATGGTTGGGAGTATATTCAGGGCTAAAGGTAGATGGTTGGGAGTATATTCAGGACTCCAGGTAGATTGTTGGGAGTAGCACATTCAGGACTCCTGGTAGAGGTTTGGGAATATATTCAGGACTCCAGGTAGATGGTTAGGAGTTGCACATTCTGGACTCTAGGTAGATGGTTGGGAGTATATTCAGGACTCCAGGTAGATGGTTAGGAGTAGCACATTCAGGGCTCAAGGTAGATGGTTCGGAGTATATTCATGACTCCATGTAGATGGTTGGGAGTATATTCATGACTACAGGTAGATGGTTGGGAGTATATTCAGGACTCCAGGTAGATAGTTGGGAGTATATTCATGACTTCAGGTAGATGGTTGAGAGTATATCTACAGGTAGATAGTTAGTATATTCATGAATGCAGGTAGATGGTTGGGAGTGTATTTAGGACTTCAGGTAGATGATTCGGAGATTGGGAGTAGCTCCTCTAGGACTCCAGGTAGAAGATTGGGAGTATATTCAGGACTCCATGTGAATGATTGGGAGTGTATTCTGGACCTCAGGTGGATAGTTGGGAGAAGATTATTCAACCAACATTTTTTTAAACTCGTATTTTTTCAAATAAAATTAAAATATAAATAAACATTGTTTTTATTCTAGGGTCAAGTGCTCTACCCGTCTGTTAGTTGTGTGTGGGGACAATGTGAAGTTACACTCAGGTAAATAAAAGTATTTAAATTGTCAATTGAATGATCTTCATAAAGAACGGACTCATAGTTATTTTGATAATTTCTTAATGATTATTTGTTTCTGTATTTAATCTGAAATGGCGCGCAAAATTTCAAATTTATCGCCTTCATATACGCGACTCTGATTGGTTGAATTTTATACACTTTTCAGGATACAAGTTCAAGATTAGGTTAGTCTCGATATTAAGAAAAAGATAGGATCAAGCATTAATCTCAATATCCACCATGTTGAAGTTTTAAGTTGATTAACAAATTTATCAGATTTACGCCTAGTAAATCAAAATCCAATAAATCCGGATCCTAAGCATTGCATCTGCAAGTATTAAGATACTCCTAATTATGTTTTAAAAAATGTGAAAAGATGATAGCGAACAGTTTTTTATCAGATATCACGGGAGTCTTGTTGGAAGGGCCTGCAGTTTATCTGAACTCTGTCGAGCAGAGATCAGAAAACGCTGCCTGGATTTCTCAACTTTGCCAGTCCCACGTGGGGTTAAGAAATATCTGAAGCATCAGTAAAAAATACAGGTAACAAAATTGCTTACTGAGATTAATTGCCAAACTGATTTTTTTTGTCAAAAAAAGGTTGTGTGCAACATTTAAACCTAAATCCAGGGGGAATTTAGGGATCGAGTTTTCCGGGGGGTTCACCGACATAGGGTCTAATGATTTAGGGTCAAACGAAAAACGGTCAAAAACGCGACAAAGATGACAAAGGGTCAAAACGGAAAAAATATTTTTTTGTATTTCAGGGTTAGGTTAGGTTAAGAGATTTTTGGGCCAAGCGCTGCGGCTAGGACAGGCCAAGGTGCGAGCGCTGCGGCTACTAGTTCTAATGAACATAAAAATAGTTAGAATAAAATTTTGCCCGTTGTTTTTTTGATCCTATGTCGTTTTACCCTTTGTCGCGTTTTTGACCGTTTGTCATTTGACCCTAGGTCGCTTTACCACATGTCGTTTTATCCAAGGTAATTTGACCCTACGTCGGTGAATTTTCAGGGAAAGTGTACAATTTAGTGCACGAAGCGCGACAATGTTTTTAATTATTAAATTTTAAATGTTTCCCACAAGAAGTTAATATGGGGGAACATTAGATGGAATTAAAACTGGTGTTGTCAGAATTTTCTAATTCTCCAGGGGGAACATGGAGAAATTAACGTATGAAAATTGTTATGTAAATTGTTGTACATTGTAAAAAAAAATCTCAATCATTTTCATCCTCGTTAAAGGGGCTGTACGCATAGTTTTAATTTACCATCCTTACAAAGCAATGTCAGATATACAACAGAACCTTAAAAAGCTTTACTTTCTCATTTCTTGTTGACAAGAAAGATTGGAATAATTCGCAGAAACACTTACTTTTTAAGTGAAAAAAAACGACTTTATCTTCCACAATTTTAATCAAGTTTCAGTGTTGTTAATTGCGATTGTTGCATGGAGGGCCATTCAAACATAGGCGTACAGTCCCTTTAATGGTGATTTTATTAAAAGGTTGGATTGCTTGAATGTCATGCAAATCTGTCCCTTTAGTAAAACTAAATTCAACATATATGAAGCATAAAGTCTGACCGCGTCAACCTTGTTGCACCGACTAGTCCTGTCCATAGAGCTAGGTACAGTACAAACTGGGGCCGGAAAAGGTTGACCCGGATCGGAAATTTAGATGTACTACGGATGCCCGTGATGTATATCCCGTATTTTAGTCATCTTCATAATTTGGACAATACCCTTTCCTAGATTAACTATTTAAATACTAATAATAATTTTATTTCTGTATTATAGGAGTTCGTAGAAGGAAAATTCCAGAACTGACTTTGCACTGTTTTTAATCCTTTATTCTTGTATAAATTTAAAATTAATTTTATATCAAATTATTCTTAATTGTAAGAATTAAGAGACCATCATCTATCTTGAATAGATTTTAATTGTATATATAATATATTTTTAATAATAAAAAATATTTGTGTTCTAAACGACCTTTTAAAATTGGATTTATGGCCTCAAAAAATTTTTTTTTATAATTTTAGCAAAAAGTCGCGCATTTGTTAGGTTTTCCAAACCAAACCTCGATAATTTAATTTCTCAAACTCGAGGGATACCGGGATTGTACGCAAACAAACCATTACGTAGCTTTTCACCTTGTACGTACTTGCAAATTTAAATAACCTTAAACAATTATTCAGATTCACAATGGTACCCATTCTGACAATTACTTATTTTTCTTTGTTGCAACAATTCTCTAGTCGCTTTAATATAGAGAAACCAGGCTTTAATTAAGATACGTTTTCAGCTGAAAACTGTATTTCCTATGGCATATTTGATCACGTAAAGGTTTTAGAGTTACCTTTGTGAATCGGTCATGTCACTCTGTGAATGTAGGGTCCTTTAAAATAACTTCTCGTACCCTGCTCCATCCTTGTGGTCACTTTCGATCCCAATCTGACCTTAAACATGCATATAAATCTAATTTCTACGTTTTGTTTGCAAATCCGTTTGAATTGAAGAAGTTTGAAGATTGTTAAATTATATACAAGGAGCTTTAGTATTATACCGATACACTTGGTATTAATCTTTAAGTAGGTGGATCTAACAATTGACAGGAAGGCGTGGTTTCCGGTAGGTTCCCAGAGAGGGCCACGCCCACCTGCTCCATCCGGGATATTCCACACACTTTAAAGGAGGGGATATATTGTATAGAAACGGTGGATAATAATACACCAATAATAGGGGTTTTTATGGGAATATAACTTTTCATGTAAAAATAGTTGTTGAAATACTTTGTTCAGAAGAAGTATTTGTATGTAAAGAAGATTCGACTGGATTGGCAATAGCTTTGTTCGGGATTAGACTGGATTGGCAATAGCTTTGTTCGGGATTAGACTGCTAATAAAAGGTTCATCATAAATCGTGAAGTTTCACAAATATTGAAATTATTTATTTAGGTTTAATGTCAAGATCTCAAGTGTAAAACAAACAGACCAAGGGGTTTTTCACTATTTTTAATGTATGTACTTAATACTTTTTAAGCTAGGCTTTTGTCATACATCAATTGAATTTTTTTATCGTTTAAAAAAAATTTTGAGAGCGTGAAAAAATTTGAATTGAATCCAAATAGTCAATAAAGCTGAAAGATTCTCGAATTCTATTTATATCCCCCCGGCCTCCCCTTGATTGGGGTACCCCTTCTGAGTTTTTACCCTATAATAAAGATAAAGATATTCATCTCCAAGTATAATATTTATATTTTCTATTCATATATAATCTCTACCAATATATCAATCTATTCATCTATTCATATCTCTTCATTCAATCATTACATTTAGAGACATTAATTTCATACCACGTGTCCTACTTAAAGGGGGAAAATGCAATAATTAATTTCCTGAAATTGTAACTGAAATACATCTAGTTCTCCACAGTTGTTAAATTATTCACTAAGTGAAACCATATTAAAGTTGATGTTGATGTAATTGAATTTTTCAAAACAGTCTGGGAAACACCTTGTCATATCTAATCCTGTATGCCGAGTCCATTAGCGCCTGATCCAATCAGGGTACAGTCATGTGTTTGTTGTCTATCATGAACCAATAGAAATAGTATTGCGGTAACATCTATCTTTCTATCCAGCTCATTAACCAATCAGAGTTATGAATCCTTGAATCAGCGCTATAACAGTTAATGGAAATATTATACTTCTACTGAAACTAAAGTGAGCTCAAGTCTGTAACCCGGAGGGGAACTTAATTCCCTTTCCCCCCCCCTCCCTTCCTTACTTAGTCCAGAAAAGAAGAAGGCATAGTTCCCAATATAAAGGTAAAAGACGGCATAGTTCCCAATATAAAGGGAAAAGAAGGCATAGTTCCCAATATAAATGTAAAAGACGGCATAGTTCCCAATATAAAAAGAAAAGAAGGCATAGTTCCCAATATAAAGGGAAAAGAAGGCATTGTTCCCAATATAAAGGGAAAAGAAGTCATTGTTCCCAATATAAAGGGAAAAGAAGTCATAGTCTAAGACTTCTCACGTGGATTTAACGGTTCTGTCAATATCCCAGAAAGCTGTGACTTTCGATCACAATTTGACCCATTAAACATATTTTTTAGCCTTTTTTCTTAAATACTTTTTTGTTGGCATATGCATTTTGAATAAAAATGTATAAAAAACAAATCCGTAAAGTAAATGATTATTGAATTAAAGACCAAAACACGTTTGATTTCAAATAGAAGAAACCGGATGCTGCTCACTCTGGTTAGTCCGGTGTGTTCTGTTTATACTTAAAACCATGAATTCAAATAGTCTCAGTTTGAAATATCAAAGGTTTACACCATCAGGTTGCAAAAATATAGGAATGAGAAAATTTGAGTGTGTGGCAAAAACTCAATTGCTTTACATTTACTCAATTTACTTGTCGCGATTTACCGACATCTGATTGGACGCATTTGCCGCTAGTAATATTCCTGAACTCTGATTGGCTAAATATTGATAATTATAGCGGCACTTGCAGTAAAGTTTGATCATGTAATCTAAATCTGTATTTTTTCAAAGTTTGATTGAGATTATTTTACACCGTTTTTAATAAAATTAAAAAAAGAAAAATAAGTTGAGGAAAATGATAAAAAGTGGAGATGATTGAGGAAGGAAAACACAGAAAGAAAAGGTCAAATTATTGCGATAATAATGAAAGAATTTTGTGACTAGGCCGGTCACATCAGTATGAGTACTATGTAATTCATTCCATTAAGATATAGCCGCCAATTTTCTCTTGTTTGTGGATTTTTTTAAAGATAGATAGATAGCTAAAGACACATGGAAACCTAATAAAAAAGTAATTTTATAAAAATATAAGTTTGTTCAACTATTATCATCGTTACATCCAGACCGGGCGTTCTATTTGGTCCGGGTGAGTGTTACATGTGAAATGCATGATAAAAATTGATAGGAGGGGGAAGGGGAGGGGTCAAAAAATCGTATATTAGGAAATTACCGATGGTTATGTACAAATTTGATAGAACGGAAACAAAAATTGTAACAATTTCAATAACAATGATAATGCTTTGGGTCCGTCAAAGTAAACAATTTTTGGACCCCCCCCCCCGTTCTATCAGTTTTGTACATAACCAGCGGTATTTTCCTAATATACGATTTTTTTACCTCCCCCCTTCCCCCTTCTATCAATTTTGTACATGGATTTCACATGTAACACTCACCCGGACCAAATATAACGCCCTGGCCTTATTTAACGTGACACATGGTCCTGTTCGAATTCAAATTTACTACTGCCCAGAGTGACGCACCTCAAAACCTTTAGTAAAAGTAAATTCAACCTAAAGTCTGACCGCGTCAACCTTTTTGAACCGGCTAGTCCTATTGAGTGTCTGTTTTATTTACCCAATGTCCGGACGATAAAATACAAACTGGGACTGGAAAGGTTGACCCGGCTCGGAAATTCAAATTTACTACGGCTGCCCGTGTAGAAAGAAGAAAGGAATGTTTATATAATAGATTGGAAGAAACAAGAAAGGTCAAAGAGAAAGGTTGGAACAAACAAGAAAGGTGAAAGAATAAGGTTGGAAGAAACAAGAAAGGTTAAAGAAGAAGGTTGGAAGAGACAAGAAAGGTTAAAGAATATGGTTGGAAGAATCAGGAAAGGTTAAAGAGAAAGGTTGGTATAAACAAGAAAGGTTAAAGAGAAATGTGTAAGGCTAAATGAAAGATTTTAAGGAAAGTAGAAGTGGTTTCAGTGGATATGGTTGGGAGAAGCAAAGGGAGGTTGAAGATGATTGTTGGGAGAAGAAAGGGAGGTTGAAGAAGATTGTTAGGATAAGAAAGGGAGGTTGAAGAAGATTGTTAGGAGAAGAAAGGGAGGTTGAAGAAGATTGTTAGGAGAAGAAAGGGAGGTTGAAGAAGATTGTTAGGAGAAGAAAGGGAGGTTGAAGAAGATTGTTGGGAGAAGAAAGGGAGGTTGACGAAGATTGTTAGGAGAAGAAAGGGAGGTTGAAGAGATTGTTGGGAGAAAAAGTAAAGTTAGAAAGGAAGGTTGAAAGAAACTAGGAAGAATGGAAGAAGTATACTGAAAACAAACTAGACATTAGACAGAAAGTAAAATTCATGTGACATTAATGGTACGACTTTGTGACCTAGTACCTTCTTTAGTTTACATTTGACGCACAGTAAAAGAATAGCAGATTTTTTCGTATATATTGTAAATTCAAATCATTTTTATTTCTTCAATAGTTCTTCAACTAAACGAGTTATGATTGAAAACATTTTAGTTTTCAAACTTTAGTTCGACGTGAGTAAAATAGGTAACAAGAAAAGATGAGGAAGACAGCTGAGAATTGAGAATTGTACAAAGTTTTCAATTGAAATTTTTCTGTCATATTTTTTCTAGTTTCAAGTTCAATTTTAAAGGGAGTGACCGGCTATGTAAGGTAGTTGAACTGAGTATACAGTGTTGTGGAAAGCTTCTTTCGGATTCATTTTAGACATATTAAACTTTTTAAAGATCTGTAGATCCTGAATTTGAGAGCAAATTCGATGTTCAAAACTCCTACTTTGGGGTGGATACGTTTTCAGAATTAGTTTTTTTTTAAATTATTAAATAACGACGACATAAAATATAAAAAAAGTTCTACAATAAACTACAGACGTCATGTATAGGAACATGTTGAGAAACTATAAATTAATCTTATTATCGAAAATAAGTAATCTTGTTCAATTATTAGTTTCTATTTTCTCATTATTCTGGTTTCTTATTATTCACAAAGATTTTCGCAGATTTTCTAGAATTATTATTGAAAAGACGACATTTGAAGAATTTGAAGAAATCTGCGAATGATTTCAAAGAAAAGTAGAAATTCAATATAATAATAAAAACGAAATAGACGATTTTAGCATTGATTTATCGACAAATTTCTTTTGAGATTTCTAACCATCCTATTAGATTACTGTATAATTTTTACTTTATTTTTCGTTGTCTTTATTTAATAATTAAAAACAAACTAATTCTGAAAACGTATCCACCCCCAAAGTAGGAGTTTTGAACGTCGAATTTGGGCTCAAACTCGGGATTTACAGTTCTTTAAAAAGTGTCATATATCTCAAATGAATCCGAAAGAAGTTTTCCCCAACACTGCATACTCAGTTTAACTACCTTACATAGCCGGTCACTCTCTTTAAGATATTGTGAATTATCTAGCTAATTGGTTAAATCATCCTAATTAGAAGAATACAGATAAATCCAGTCCCAAGAATTTGCCTAATTAGGATTTACGCAATCTGTGCGCATGAACCTTGGATTAAGGCAGTATTTTCAAAATCAGGCAGTCGAGTTCTGTCTGCGTAGAAGAAATAAGGCATTTTTACAAATAATTATTTCTTAAATAAACTTCTCTCGTGCAAAAAAATTTACATCATTGATGTTTTTACAAAAAAGTAATTGTATTTTGCAAAAAGTCTGAACCCAAATCCAGAATCGATCTGAGTTCTAAACTAATTAATAAGCTGAAGCTAGATCATGACTTTATTCTCAACATTAAAGTTGTCACATTAGATATAAAGATCAAACATTTCAAGATTAGTGCCATTTGACACAAAAGTTTAGACTTCTGAATTTTCTTTAAAAAATTTGAACTCTAGTAAATGAATTCAATCTCTTCATTACTATAAGTTAAAGAAATCGTGGTTCTCTTGAGACTCTTATTAAATGAAATGGGGATGATAATGTCATTTTTCTAGGGTTTTCAGGTCATTTCTATATGTTTTTCTATGGTAACTATGTTTGTAGAGAAACCAACTATTTAGTTTTCAAAGTTTTAGACATGTGATATCTAACTTAAACTTAATCACCAAAAGCTTTTCAAGAGTATCGTTGTAAATCGGACATTACCATCTTTGCATAGACCTGGTCCCTTTTCCCGTTCAGTCCCTTTCATTAGGGGTTTAACGACTTAACAAAAATTCGATATGTTTGTAATGATCAAAGTTTGCTTTTATAATATCATAAAAAGTTTTATTCTTAATCAAGAAATTAGGTCAAAATGAAAATCAAAAACCGAAAACAATTAGCCATATTATTTTACATTATTTTAGCTGTTAGAGTAAAAATTTAGCAAATCCGGAAAATTCAAACTTAAAACAAACAATTTAAAAAAAAAATTTCACCATAATTCATAAATTCACCATAACTGCTAACCGTTCAAAAGTGCAGCTATAGTGAATGTTTTTTTTTCTCATGACTAAAAATAATTATTTGAAAATGAATGCTAGGATCGAAAGTTCAGCCCGGTTTGAAGATCCAAGATGGATGTCTTACACTGGGGGAACCTTCTTCTTCTTATAATTTCAGTTCTAGTTGAGAGCAGTCCTCTACTACAGTCTAGTACGGAACAAACCAAAACAAAAAATCATATTGATGATGATGCATTTTTTGCGGATTTTCTTGAGGAGGAGATTTCGGACATTTTCGAAAAGCCCGATCCTGAACATCTCAGGCATGCAGTCAACTCGTTCAAAAGTGATGTTAGTGATGCCTGGCTAGCAATGTTTCCAGATGAAGGAGATCATGATCACGATCATCATCATCATCACCATCATCACAACCAACATGATGAGCATCTGGAAAACAATCCTCAATTACAAGATAAGCATGATCACGATATGCAAAATCATGAACGTCATAACCATGATGATCATCAGCATAAACCCCATAACGGCTATGCTCATCATATTGGTCATAACCACGGCGGAACAGGAACTCCTTTGGCAGAGATCAGCAGCTCCATCTGGCTGGCTGGAATAGGATCAATACTAGTGATCAGTCTTGTAGGAGTAGTATCAGTAGTCTTCATACCTTTACTCCAAGGACACCGTGGAGAGTATGTTTTAAACTGTCTGATATCTATAGCAGTTGGAACATTAGTAGGAGATTCTTTTATTCATTTAGTTCCACATGCTTTCCAGCTCACACATGATTATTCTACAACATGGAAAGGATTTGTGGCAACTATTGTCATTATTGGATTCTTTTTACTTGACCAGCTGTTAAGTTTAAAAGGAATGTCTCATGGACATAGCCATGGGTTTCGGCCTTCAGATTCGTCCTTCCACCGTCACTCAATCTCAACATCTGCATCACCGCCACCGAAGTATAGTAAAGAAGATAGTGGAATAGAAGAATATTCTTCTCTGTCTACGCTCTCCTATACAGATACTATGCAAGAATTCCATGAGGGACATGATCATGATCATGAGCATGATGCTAGTCTGGACAGTGATCATGATCATGAGCATTCGCACCTACACAAGGCCTCTAATATGTCAAACACAAGCCTCATGGTTATTATTGGAGATGCTGCACACAATCTTGCAGATGGTATTGCTATCGGAGCAGCATTTTCTATGGGATATGCTACTGGAGTATCTACCAGCATAGCTGTTCTTTGCCACGAGCTTCCGCATGAGATTGGTGATTTCGCCATTCTTATTCAGAACGGACTGGATACAAAAACAGCTCTGTTCTTCAACATTGTATCTTCAATATTTGGTTTGGCAGGTCTGTGTATCGGTCTGCTGCTAGGATCAGCTGGGGAGTTTTCTACCTGGATGCTAGCAGGGATAGTTGGTGTATTCCTTTATGTTGCTCTAGTATCCATGCTACCCTCATTACACTGCTCTTCATTCCTTGCTCTGTTTATAAATATCTCAGGGATGGTGGCTGGAGCCTGTCTTCTCCTGGTTATTGGTCTTTATGAAGAAGATCTTGTATCTTTATTTAATAATTGAATAAATCATTATTTAAAATATTTAGCTTCATTTTTATAAATTAAAAAAAAGTTTTCAGTTTACTAAATACAATTTTCTTTGACAATTTTTCCTTAAAGACGCAACAGATAGAAGTAAAATTAGTAGCGATCGATATTGAATTCAATTCGACGTCAACCAAAACCCATTTTCATTTTTCGAGAACACTCCCTTTAAGAATGAAGAATAAATAATGGAGGATGAATTACCATAGTTGAGGATGGAGGATGAATACGAATGGAGGATTGTTGATTGAGGATGAATAACGAATATGGAGTATGGAGGTTGGCAAAGGAGTTTCCATTTATAATATGTCCTGAACAGATACTCTGCACTTGACATTCCCCCCCTTTACGCCCCACTCCCTCATCGAACTGCCTCCCCCCCTTCCTTACATACCTCCCATGTCCCATTTACAGATTTTCTAACTAATTATTTCAACGTATCATGAAAACAAATAAAAAAATACAAATACAAAAAAAAATTGGAATAGGAAGACGACATTAAAGAAATCATGTATATTTAACGTTGTTAAAAAACAAATAGTTTTAAAATTGCTTAAATTTAACTCATTACTTGCAATGGATCTGTGGCTCACGCTCATTGAAATATTAAAAATCCTGACTTGAGTCTAACAATCGTCTCATCTCTTATTCTATTTTTTATCAATTAGGACAATTATGATGCTTTCACATGTAATTTGTGATGCTTTGTGTAACCTAACATAACCCAAGCTGCGGAAATCTTATTATTATTATTATTATTATTATTAATGAACACCGATCTTCCACTTAAATACTAAAAAGCTTTTATAAATAATTTCAATGATTTCTAAATAAAAGTCTAGCAGTTTTACCTTAAAACCAGGTATAGCTTCCACCTTAAAATCAAGTATTTTCACCTTTAAATCAAGTTACAATTACTTTAAATATCTATAATATCAAGTAAGTTCCATCTTAACCCTATCACAATTGGGGGGGGGGGGGGTGTTCCCCCCCCCTGTTGTTTCTTCTGAATAACAAATATTTGCTTACATTAGAACGCTAAAACTTCCTCCTTTTTCTAGTTGTAGTTGTCAACAAATTTAGCTAAACAAATTTTTTTCAGCTTTAGCTATAAAATTCTTTACCCTATCGGGTAGAGAATAGTCAAAAGGCCTTAAAAACTGGCTATAATAACCTTTGTTATAAGTTAATATTTTTCACAAGTAAAAACAACTATTTTTGAAAATGTTTTCAACATACTTTTTGAACTTATTAAAAATCCTCTCTTACACACTAACCGGCAAAGTTGAGGTCTATTTTTTTTAATTAGCAGGCCTTGAAAAGTTAGACTATGTACATGTATCCCACTCCCCTATCTCAACTGTAAGGGGGGGGGGAAAACCCCCCCCCCCCCCATCTATATTAGACAAAAATAGCCCAATATGGTTAAAATCATGTAATCTTAATCTCAATTTATTTCTATACACAATCAAGTATTCCATCGAATTGAATTTAAGAGTTTTTAGTTTATGTAATCCACGAAACTTACATGGTGTCCCAATAAACATGGGAATTCAGTGACGAATTCGATATCGTCTTTTAAAATAATTCTTTGATTTAGTATAGTGATACCTGGTGAAAAATCTGTAATCTGTAAGAGTTTCGTCTGCTATGTTCACGTTTATGTTTTGACTGCATACGGCTGTACGGAGACATTATAGACACATCTTTACAGTCTTTTACCCTTTTCATTAAATAAACTCTAGCAGACATATTAATATTATGGCTTTTGAAATTAGGTATTACAATGCTAATTCATAACAAAGACGATATCGAATTCGTCACTGAATTCCCATGTTTTTTGGGACACCCTGTATAAAAATCTTACCCTTTATCCTTGCGAATATTAAACTGTGCAATTTTTGGTTTAGCAAAATTGTCATGTTTTGAGCAAATACATAAATATAAATAAAACGCATCCTCTTTACATTCCTATTTGTACTGTGTGTTTAGTACTTTGTATAATCCGGTTTTGATAGGTTTGTAAACATAAGGGTATTGTTGTGGAACTGGTTTATTCAGTAATACGCTTAGCGGAGTGTGCTGTTAACTACTCTCACCACTAATCCGCTAATCCGCTAATCCGCTAATACAGTGAATCAGTGGGAACTCTAAAATCTTTAACAATTCAATCGATGTAGAAAAATTTTAATAAATGAATCATTTACGTAATTTAAAATTAAATTTGAACCATCTAATAAAGTCACCGGAAGTTTTTGGATAAAAGCCTGTAAAATAAGGTAATTTTGTTTTACATAAATCTTTTTCATAACATTTATTTTTATGGAGAGAAAAAAAATATATATTTAATTTGCATTTATTTTTGAGAAATATCTATAGTAAATGCCGTACTCTTAAAAGTTCGTCACATAAACTGTATCAGTCCAGGGTTCAACTAGTCCATGATCCAATTCGAACTTGAAACGATCTTCAAGGCTACAATCCCGGGAAATATCAACGCCACAACCTGGGCGTGATCTCGTTAGCTATCAGTGTCAATACGGACACTAGCAATCAATTGATCAATGTCTCAAACAGGACACGATCTACATGGCTACAATACTGTGAACTATCAATTAGATCAATACCTATACTCAAGGTATGATCTTTACGCTAAAACTTACAAATTCCCAAAGATTAATTATATCCTTAGATACATATAGATAGATATATAGATAGATAGATAGATAGATAAATAGATAGATAGATAGATAGATATAGTATAAACATCTGATATTATGATGAATAGATAGATCAAATTATACACGTCAGTAGATAAAAGGAATAAGTGTGTAAGCAGATGAATGTGGGGGGGGGAGGGGCGGGGAGGGCGATATGGAGGATTCGGATTTTTAGTATTAAATCTTTTTCACGTATCCATCTTTATCTATCTAATAAAACTCAATTTGCTCAATGTTAAATGTTAGCTTATACCTGGCCAAACGGTTGGACCAAATTGACTAACATTTTTTATGGAGCCCTGGGGTAACGTAGGCTAAAAAATACGTTTTTTTTGTTAAAATATCATGTTTTAGATTGTTTATTTTTCCAAATTGGAAATTTTTTTCTTTAAAATTTGAGGGTCCACGCCGGGCACTTTAAATAATATTTTCGCAATTTCTCCGTAATTCTTATGGTAATACTACTAATTCATATAAAAATATTTAAAGAAATAAAAATTAAGTATTTTTTGCATCACAAGAAAATACTTTTTGAATAGATATTTAGATGGATGAATAGATAGATAAAATACATATATATATAAATCTATATACTGTGAATAGATAGATAGATAGATAGATAGATAGATAGATAGAGATGAATAGATATGTTGTCAACAAAATACATTTTCTCTTTAGTTCACTTTATGAATGGGTTGATAAATAGATAGATAGATAGATAGATAGATAGATAGATATAGTATAAACATCTGATATTATGATGAATAGATAGATCAAATTATACACGTCAGTAGATAAAAGGAATAAGTGTGTAAGCAGATGAATGTGGGGGGGGGAGGGGCGGGGAGGGCGATATGGAGGATTCGGATTTTTAGTATTAAATCTTTTTCACGTATCCATCTTTATCTATCTAATAAAACTCAATTTGCTCAATGTTAAATGTTAGCTTATACCTGGCCAAACGGTTGGACCAAATTGACTAACATTTTTTATGGAGCCCTGGGGTAACGTAGGCTAAAAAATACGTTTTTTTTGTTAAAATATCATGTTTTAGATTGTTTATTTTTCCAAATTGGAAATTTTTTTCTTTAAAATTTGAGGGTCCACGCCGGGCACTTTAAATAATATTTTCGCAATTTCTCCGTAATTCTTATGGTAATACTACTAATTCATATAAAAATATTTAAAGAAATAAAAATTAAGTATTTTTTGCATCACAAGAAAATACTTTTTGAATAGATATTTAGATGGATGAATAGATAGATAAAATACATATATATATAAATCTATATACTGTGAATAGATAGATATAAAGATAGATAGATAGATAGATAGATAGATAGATATCTATCCCTCCCACCCCTCTTTCTTCTCCCTTACCCCCTTATCTTCTTCTCCTTTCCCATGTTTCAATCTATTTCTGCAATCTCCGTTATTTGTCGCTTTGTATTTTATTTTATTTTCCAAAAAAATTATTAATTTTTGTATTTACTGTTGACAATTTATTGAATTTTTGAAATCTTAAAAATGTTTATTGGTTATGTAAATTAGGGAGGGTTGGCTGGCTGCTCTCTGGGTTTTGAAGTAATTGCTCCCATGGTTTTAGAGTGCTCCCAGGATTTTGAAGTTGCTCCCAAGGTGCGGAAAGGAATTCAGTCTTTGCCACAAACTCTGCTTTTCTAAACCCAATATCTTTGGATTCCAATGTCGTAGACCTTAGATATTTCAAATTATGAATTCTGTTATATCAAATAATTTAAGTTTAAAATATCAAAGATTTACGACATTGGGTTCCAAAGATATAAGGATTATATTCAGAGTTTTTAACAAAGACTCAATTCCTTTATCCGAATTTTGTGAAAAATTCTATGAAAACCGAAAATGGAAGAAAGGGTCCTGTTTTACCTTTTTTAGCCTAATTGTCTACATTTGAGTGACTGTTTTATATTTTGAAAAAAGGACCAAAAAAGGGCCAAACACTAGAAATAATTTTGAGTTTTTACCTGCAGCAGCAATATACACTGTTTTTGAACATATTTTTATTACAGAATTGTTGATGCAGAAATGGAAAAATATAATCCTTCTAGTAGAAGGCTTAGATCCTAGTATTATGATTTAGAATTAGAATAGAAGAAACCATATGCATTTACCCGTAGGTAGTCCAGGTGGCAAAGTAAAGATTTATTGATAAGAAAATTACACTGCCATCAAGGAAAAGATATCTGTTCCATTGTAGCAAAGTTTTCAAGTTGTTTTGTTCCTTTGAAAGTTTAACCTGATTTATTGCGTATTTAGTGTTTTTTTAAATTTTATTTCTAATTTCTGTTTTGTAAAGTTAAGTTTGTAGATATATATAGTAAAGGATTAGATCCACGAAGATAAATTGTTTCCGAACAATTAGTTTACATATATTATTCTTACAATTTCACACCCATGAGGACATTTTAAATCTTAAATTATTCAAGATAAATTTTCAAGCCAAATCCCCAAAGAGAATAAAATATATATTAGAGTGGAATTTACTAGAAAAAAGTGTAAAACGGCCATTTTGTTGTACTGTTTCCATACTGCAGGTGTACTTTACATATTTGTGCTATATAACCTTTTGGGCCCTGGAACATCATTTTATAGAAAATCTAAAATATTAAATATTAAAAGAAAACCAAATTTTGAAATAGGCTGGTTTCATAATAGACCAATGATCATTTCACATAGACTCTATGCCTTTCACTTTACAAACGATGATTTTTCGTTATAACTAAAAATGAAATGATGTTTTTTATTCACCTAATTCATTTTATAAAGTTTATTTAACAGCTTTAAAAATTTCGAAATTGAAATGGATACTGGATAGTCTAGGGAACATACTATATTAATGTACTTTACTGCATATAATTTGTGAACATTTACATGATTTGTACACTTTGAACTCCCTTTCAGGCTGATAGGAAATGACAAAATGCATACCGAGAGATTGTCTCAATTCCACTCTAATATATATTCTATTCTCTATGGAAATCCCAATTAAAAAAAGTCGAATTCCCGATTCACAAGAGAATCCTTCACATAATCTTTTTCAGTAAACTCACAGTTGAAAATTATCAATTTTTGGAGAGACAACAAGAATATCTTTATCATACGAAGGAAGGTTTAAAGAGTACAGTTGTGAATCAAATATGAAACTTACATCGCCAGTTTGCATGTGTTTCGTTTTATTAGACAAAATGTTTGTCCACAGTTTGTTTAAAGTTTGTATAAAGTTTGTTTAAAGTTTGTCTAAAGTTTGTTCAAAGTTTGTCCACAGTTTGTATAAAATTTGTATAAAGTTTGTTTAAAGTTTGTCTAAAGTTTGTTCAAAGTTTGTTCAAAGTTTGTCCACAGTTTGTTTAAAATTTGTTTAAAGTTTCTATAAAGTTTGTCCACAGTTTGTTTAAAGTTTATTTAAAGTTTGTATAAAGTTTGTCCGCAGTTTGCTTAAAGTTTGTTTAAAATTTATATAAAATTTGTCCACAGTTTTTTAAAATTTGTTTAAAGTTTGTATAAAGTTTGTTTAAAGTTTGTTTAAATTTTGTATAAAGTTTGTCTAAAAGTTTCAGTTTGTCGCAATTTTGTTCAAAGTTTGTCCACAGTTTGTTTAAAGTTTGTCTAAAGTTTGTATAAAGTTTGTTTCAAGTTTATTTCAAGTTTGTTTCAAGTTTGTTTAAAGTTTGTATAAAGTTTGTCCACAGTTTGTTTTAAGTTTGTTTAAAGTTTATTTAAAATTTGTCCACAGTTTTTTAAATTTTTTTTTAAGTTTGTAGAAAGTTTGTTTAAAGTTTGTCTAAAGTTTGTTCAAAGTTTGT